TCATTTCTTTCCCTGATTTGGTAGCATTAGTTAGAATGTCCAGTATAATGTTCAATACAGTGGTGAAGATCAGCCTGTTGTGTTCTAATTGTAGGCTGATCTTCACCACTGTATTGAGCATACAATAGTTAGAAATATATATGCATTTAATAACAAAGTCCTTAAATATATGACATAAAAGTTGACAGAAGAGAAAAATAATTTAATAACAAAATATAAAGACTTCAATAATGAATTCAACAACTAACTGGAAGATAAACAACAAAATGCAGGTCTTGAACAACACCATCAACCAATAATCTTTACAGGCTTTTGTAAACATACAGCTCTACAGAAGAATACACATTCTTCTTGTGTGTATGTAGGACATTCTCTAGGATAGATTACGTGTTAAATTATAAAAAAAGCTTCAGTGCATGTAAAAAGATTGAACTCATACCAATTAAGTTATTTGACCAGAAAATAATGAAATTAGAAATTATTTAAAAAGGACAATTTAAAGAATTTCATATCTGTCAAAATTAACAGCGTAAATAACCAACCGATCAAAGGAAAAAAATCTTTGGGAAATTAGAACATGTACTGAAGTAATGAAAAACATAAGCTATGAAAACTTATGGGACATGACAAGACCAGTACTTAGAGAGAAAATGATAGCTGTGGATGCATATGTTAAAATAAAGACCTCAACTCCATAACCTCATCTCTACCTTAATAAGCCAGGAAAACAAGTCCACATAAAACATAAAGCAAATCAAAGAGAGAAAACAATAAATACCAGAGGTGAAGGAGATGAGCCTGAAATAGAGAAGCAATAAAAAAATTCAGTGAACGTAAAACATGGGGCTTTGAGAAACATTGATAGGCCTCTAGTTAGGTTAATCAAGAAAAAAAAAACAGACATGATACAAATTACTAAAATCAATAATGAAAGGGGATGTTATTGCATCTCTTAGAGAAAATTTAGGTTAAATGCTAAATTTCTACAGAAGCAGAAAATACTAAGACTAATTCAAGAAAGAAATACACAATATGAATAGATATAACAAGT